CGTCTACAGTAGATCTTCCCTTACGAAATCCGAACTGTGCATCCGAAATAGTGTTATGTTCATTACAAAATTTTTCGATTCGTCTATTTATAACTGTAGTAAATAATTTTGACAAGCAACTTACAAGTGTAATGCCTCTGTAATTATTAACGTCATTTTGATTCCCTTTTTTATGCAGAGGGATAATTATACCTTCGGTCCATTTATCAGGAAAACAGCCCGAGTTTAAAATACAATTAAATAAGTCACAAATATGAGACGATAAAATATCAATACTTTCTATAAAATATTCGTTCAATAAACAATCATTACCATAAGCTTTATTACGCTTCAGTGATTTAACAGCCGATAAAATTTCAGAACAAGTAATAGGCTCGTCTAACTCAGGAAAAATTTCATTAGTAATTGTAAAATCATTATTTTCACAAAATTCCTCAGCTTCAGCATTGTAACACTGAAAAAAGTCATTGCTTAAGTTAGAAAAATATTCTCTAAATTGTTCTAAATTTATTTTATTATCAACTTTTCCCGTTTGTTTTTTAAAATATTTCCAAAAATCTTTCGGCTTACTCTTTTTCAAATTTTCTATTTCTTGCATTTTCTTTCTATAGAACATATTTTTCTTCTTTGTAATAACAGATTTATAAGCAGATTTATGATTACACAAAATTACTCTATTTTCATCCGTTTTACAACAGTTAAATGATTTTAATGATTCTAAATATACGTTTCGTGCATCAATGCAATCTTTATCAAACCATTCTGAGTGCTTCATGTATTTTTTCTGCATCATAGTAATGAACACTTCTAAATTTCAAATTATATGAAAAAAGAGGATCTGCAACACTCCGCATTGTATCTGTAAATTTATTCAATGCGTCATTAACAGACTGTCTACTATTACAATCTAATGTATTAACAATAGTATTAAAAACGGGTAAATTTACAATTATGCCCGAACGAAATTGTTGCCTGCGATCATTGTCCCACTTAAATTTGATCTCAGAATAATCTGCATTATTATCGTGCGTATTATTACATTCAAGTGACAAGGTCAAAGGGGAATGATCACTCCATTCATTAAATGGATGTATAGTAAAGTCACTGATCAATGAAAAATTGCGTTCATTGCATAACACATAGTCTATCACAGATAAACCGTTATGAGATAAAAAAGTATAAGTGTTAGTATTCCCGATACGGCCATTGATAATACGTATACATGATGATTTACAAAAATCTAACAGTTTAATGCCATAATTGTTATGTTTACTATCTATTGTGGCCCTGCATGGGGTACTATCGGGTTCATAATCTATGTCATCAATGATTTTATTTACTTTATCATGTACAATGAAATCATTTTTGTTGCCTACCCTACTGTTAAAGTCACCTAGAAGATAAACACAACCAATATTTTCATAATTAGATACATCATTTTCTAACGTTTCAAATAAGTCTATATTAAAAGTATTATATACAGGTGAATTTTCACCCCAAATATACAAGTTAACGGAATATTATTGTACTACGGAGAAATTAAATTACGGCACAGAATTAATTATTTATTAAAGAATATCATGGACACGGAAACACCTCCACCCTCCAGTATTACCTTAAACCCCGCACCACACACTTCCAAACTTTCAAAAATTATATGTTCAAAGTGTTATATCTGCATTAAATAAATATGTAAACATATTTTCCGTCGGCTTCAAAACCACCAAATCACTTACCTAACTGTTATTAGGTTTACTATCATGATTTGGCATTTTAGCTGTTTTTTCCTGTCTTTTCAGCTTAAAATGTAGCAACCACTGACCCTTTGTCAGTCTTCGATGTGTGAAAATAAGACGGAATTAGCTTATATTTGATGAAGATTACTATTGTTTGAATATCAATAGAGGGCCTTTTTATTTTTGGTCCCCGCAGCATATAGTATTTTGATTAAACTTGATTTCTTTTTTTATTTTAAAAGAAACGTTCGTGTCCATTTACGATTATGAAGATATGAAACAAAAATATCTAATAGAAAAGAATGCTAAGGATGACGCCTTACGAAGGTATTCATTGTAAAAATGTACATACATGTACATAATAAAAAATAGCCCTTTTATTTTTGAAAACATGATGTGTCTTCTTTCAATCTATTGAAGTTTAAGTTATAATTATTTTTTGTTATACACCTCCTCTATTGTTTATGACAGGTCTATATTTTTCGGATAGACCTGTTTAAACAAAAGAAAGTCCGTTATGATGTCTATCTTTTGCACGTGCACAGGTCTGTTCTAGTCAGACAGATCCGGTCATGAAAAACACGTGAAAAAATAAACCTGCATATGCGCAGACAAAGAGAACATGAAATGCAATCAAAAATTGAAAATGAAAATAAAATGTAAACGATTGTCATAATATTCCTGTCTAACAAAATCTGAATACATTTTTTTAAACAAGATAACGTTCCCCTGAAAACCTTCGAATCCAGGGCTTAGTTGCAAAGAATGCTACACAACAACGTTAAAGATATAATCCAAAACTTGCTTATAGTGACATACATATACAAGTACTTAAAGTGGATTGGTCTCTCCCATAAGTTATTAAAATAGCGATAGAAACGATTAGGATATTATTAAAAGAAATCTTTAAAAAGAAATTATAAGTGATTTAGTATAACGATTTATATGATGAGCGATCATATTGTATTCTATAACATTTTACAATCGGATAATGTATTTCACACTTGCCAACAATATACATATGTAAGTATTTCCTGGTTTGCTGGGTATCCGGACATTTGCCTTCAGACAGTTGTTCCCTCAGAAGTTTTCTCCAGTTTTGCAGTAGCGGACATTTGCCCCGTCATATCTTTGGAAGGGTTGGATGTTTGCTTCCCCCCATGATTTAAAAATGTTGAAAATTAATTTTGAATTTTTTATTAAAAAAATTCACCGCCTTTTGTCGAAATTCTAATTGTGCTTAAATAAACAAAAACTGCGCAAATTTGTGGAAACAAATTAATGTCGATGACCTCTGACAAGTAACAATTCGCCACAGCATAAAGGGGGCACGCGTCCGAGAGGACAACTGTTCGGGGGAAGTGGCAAATGTCCTAGAATTTGCAATGTCTTATACGAAATACTATCAACATAATTATTCATTCTTTAACATACCTTCCATTACAGATCCATTCTCTTTATTATTGACAAATTGCACATTTACCTTTTTTATTATTTTTTAAAGGGAAAAGCAGAGTTAAATGCAAGATCTACATTATATTTAAGCAGAACGTTGATAGAAACTTACATGTAAATAAGCTGTGTTAAAAAATAATCTTTGTGCATGACATCAAATTTTCAGGTCAGCCATTGCTCAAGCCTATATAGTTTTACGGTGTGTAAGTTGGATATCAGCCTCGTACATCGATCTTTCTGTTTAGGAAAGACCTGGTCACGAATTTCATGAAACACCTCGAGCGCTAACAGAAACACCTCGTACTCGGTCGATATCCTATACATAAAACGTATAAGTGTTTAGTCGATTTGTCGGTTGCTTTCGTATAGTGGACTAAAACCTTTGTTCTTTATTTTCTTTAGATCCGAAACTGTCATAGTCTTATGACATAGTCATTAACTCATACCTTTATTATTTTATGTTATGCAAGATTGAGTGCCATCAACAACACAACTCCCACCAAAACCAACAACAACAACAAAAAAAACAACAACAAACAAACAACACAGCAGCAAGAAATGATAATAATAATAATAATAATAATAATAATAATAATACTAATAATAATAACACAGGTATAGCACACATTGTCAATGTACATGCAGCTCAATGTTTGAGCGACTAGTATTCCATGGTCGTATAGTTTTCAACATGTTAGTCATACGCATCTTAAAGGTAATAATCATTAAAAGTTATTCAAATTTTCAAGTTAATCCTATTAAGAGATAAGATGAATGATAAATAGATGTTTTACGAAAAATAATCTGCTTTACATTGGTATTAAGCTAAGTGCTCCAAGTATATATGTTTCTTTCGACATTAAGAATTTCATTCATTTTAAAAATAAAAAATTTAGAGTAAAATTGATAACTACAAACCCCAAACATATGTTTTTTTTAGGTTCAATTCTTTATAAAGTCTCATAAAAATTTTACAAGGCCGCCGAAGGTACATTGCTTGTCTTTTGTCAACAGCCTCAATACACATAGACGTTAATATGTATTTTTTCATATTCCACCTACGATTTTTATCAACCAACCGTTGGAAAAAAAAAACAAATCTAAATGTATCTGCGGCGATGTGGCGCTTAAAGCGTACTGGACGAATATAAATAATTATATAATATTTCTATTTTCAAATAGATAAAATATTGAACTTAACGAATGTGTATATTAAGGGAAGACCACTGATAAAATTAAGAAAAGTCCGGGTATTTTTTAGTCATCCCTCGAATATAACAAATGTTAGTAATGTTTGAAATATTTCGTGTCATTAATAATCACAGTTAAACTTCTATGTGTAAGGTTAATCGTTACATTTAAGGTTAAATGAACTTTGACAAAACTGCAAGTTCAAGTGTACACGTCCAACCTACAGTGCCAAGCATAACGTCATGTCGAAAGCAACATGCACGTATGTATCAACTTACGGCATTTTAGCGGAAATCACGCAAAACCTACTGACAATATAAAAAAATATTCATAATCCCCAATCCCTTTGGGTAACCCCTTTTTGGATAAAGACGACTCGGCACATGATTTAAATAAGAACATATATACATATACATGTAAAATTGAAATGACAGTTTAAAAAAGAACTAAATCTGACTAAAATATTTGTATATATATTGTAATAAATATTACAATAAAACGATGCTAACAGTTGTTTGTTTTATGACGATTACATTTTGAAATAGTTTTATTTTAGATTAGCAGACGAAATCATTGACAATTTACGATACGGAATGTAAACATATACCATAGCTTATACAGTGTTTATTTAATCCCGTAAAGGTTAGCTCCCTTTACCTCACACAACTAAACGAGTTTTCAATACTGGACTAGTTTGTTATTACTTCCTTATAGCAACAGTTCTCGAAATTGTGCTTAAATCGGGTTTATTTTGCTTTGGATCACAGTAAGTTTTAAATTAATAAAATTTTCTAATCAGGAATAGGAATAAAATGCAGTTAACTTTATGACATCAGATTAATAACTAATATATTCAGCGTTTAAAATGTCTACTTTCGGTTTCTATAAATGTACTTTTAATATGATTTGTACTTTATTCAAAATTCATTTCTACAATATGTACACAGACATATTTTTATAATTCTTAGAAAATAGTTTATTGCATTCATAAACAAGAATAATGATATGCAAAGAGTAGATTTAAAATATAATGATTTGTACATGTAAAATATATGCAAATATGTAAATATATATCTCTTTGATCTTATGAAGTGTTTACATTTTAATTGTTAAAGTTTATCAATATAGTGACCTTGAATGTAGTTGTATAAAGTTATATTTATTTACGCAAATTTATATGAGTTATAGGGGATTACAGAAAGATCAACAATGTAACAATATGTGTTCTGTATATACTTTTCTTGCTTTTGACCAGTCACACTAAAAACTGGCTGAGTAAAATAAAGCTATGGTGGCTGATTTCTGCCATTTCGTGTCTTCGTTTCTTCACCCCACCTCCCAACAAAAAAGACAGAGGCTAAGACGCGATAGTATGCTCACTTATCGTGTCTTCACCTTTGACGTTTTGGGGCGCCGACACGAAGACGCGATATATTTTAGGCGAAATAACGTTATATTTAATGGCGATGACATGAGATCTTTTTCTACAGAACCATTGTGTTGGCAACGGGCAAAAATTGTATCGGCGCCCTCCATTGCCGTGTTGTCATGTCTTCACCTCAAATGCGAAAGGCGAAGACAAGAAAATTGGCAAATTTGTCGAATCTTCATGTCTTCGCCCCGAATGTCGAAGAGGGGCGAAGAAATTAGGAAATCATTCACCATACTTAACCCTACTTATTATCCACTATACATCTGTAAGGTTAAGTTGAACGATAGGCTGTTTGTAACTAGCCTCAACACATAGAAAGAAATTTATACAAGGGATAAAGACCCGTTACAGATGTCCGTTGCTTTGCATTTAAGAACAACTCACAGTGCATCTCTATCAATCTGTAATGATATATTAAATGTCTGGCTAGCTTTGTTGTCATATAAGGTCCTGTGTTGTTTAATGTAACAGGGCACATTGGAAATCTGTCGTCACTGTCATACTCAGTGCTGGCAATATAAGTCATTTCCTTTGCTTCATTCGTTGATAAGAACTTTGATTTTTGTTTTTGCTAGGTTGGCGAATAAAAAACAATGGGTCCAAAAAAGAACAAGAAGAATCAAAGCAATTTCAAAGAGGTATATATTTAAGATTATCTTATTTTTTTTAACGAAATAGCATTACCATGTAATAAAACTCTACAGTGGCATTATGTGAACATTATAGTGAGTTGAAGCATTATTCATAATAATACCGTAAAAATAGCAAAAGCTCAATATTCCAGATTCAATTTGCTGATGTATCTAATTTCAAGCTCCTTCAGTTTTTTATACATAAATTTTAATGACATTTACATTAGTTTGTCGTTCAATATAACTTGTTTTTTTTATTTCTCTTCACATGGGCTTCAAACGTTACAAATGTTATGAAACTACAATATACACGTACATTTCTTTATAAACTGAAGTAGATGATTTAATTGTTTTCTTTTACATGTACATAATCTTTTAAAATGTTAACTTATTTGGAGGTTCTGTGCTTTTTTACTCGCAAGGTTTGGCATGGCTAGCTTTTGTCAGGAAATGGAAAAAATGTTGGAATCTCAGGTAACAGATCGTTAAAGCAATAGAGTGACGAAAGAACCGAGAGACTGATAGAGATTTGATTTATTCCATCTGATGTCAAAGTTTTGTAACAAGTTATAAATGATGTTTAATTTCCTGTTTCTTTAATTTAAAACTTTAATGAATGTGTTTCAAGGTTTATCTCTCCATAATACTGCATGCAGTTTGTCCACGTGTTCAGAAGCTCAGAAATGACCAGCATGCCTTTATACTAATCCCATGGCAAGCACATTTACCAGTTAAACATCATGTGTTCTATTTATATATTTTTTCCTTTAGCCTGCAACTACATCTACAAGGAAAGCCGTACGGAGAGCATCCCGACAAGCGTCAGATGCTAGCAGTTCAGAGGCTGTCTCTCCACCGTCACCAAGAAACAGACAATGGGGTGCTATGCGTGATACTCCATCATGCTCTAGCATAGAGTCCGAATCATCATATAGGTCACATGATGGTAGACCTTCCAGAAAACGGTCACGCGTTGTGTTTGATGAAGACAGTCGGTTTTCGGTAGATTTTGAAACATCGTGTGATAGTAGTGTGTTCTGCACTCAATGCAAAGCAAGACAAGAAGAAGTTGCCAGGTATCTTTTAGATTACCACACACTACAAAAATTATCTAAAAATTCTTAGTTACTCTCTATTTGCTATTTTAATAAATGTCCTCAATTTATTATATATTGGTACATATTACAATGTATTGCGTTATTTTTCAATCATAGATCTAAGATGTGTCGTAAACAATTCTTACAGTTTGCAAATACATATACAAATTGTTGTTAAGATGTCAAATTATTGCTCCTGTTTAAAGAAATAGCCACCACATGAGTATTATCTACGAGTAAGGATTTTTTCCGTTGACTTGTCCATTTTCCATTTTTGGAACTGTCTATGATCAGTATGGTTTGAAAATAATGAAGTCGGCCTCGTCCTACATTTGTGGAAAGGCTATATATTCTTTCTTCCAGCAAGCACGTAAATGACTCTACTCTGTTTCTTCATTTCAGATTGATGGAGGAATTAAGTGTCCGGGAAAAGCTCGGGGAACATTTAGAAGAAATGGATGCAAAATTTAAAATTGAGGAGAAATCAAAAGAAGAAGCTTTGGCTTGGTATTTCAATTATTTAGTGTCTTTTATGTAGGACCATCTCTAATATTAATGACAGTTTGAAATTACTTCTCTTTATAAAGCGATCTTTCATAATTATAAATGTACATAAAATCTTTGCAGGGTTAAACAGGAACAAGCCAGCAACGAAACACTGAAAGTAGAGCTGGATGAAATGCGCGCCAAATATGAAGAGGAAAACAGACTTAAAGATGAAGCTTTGAATAGGTAAATCACTAAAATCACTTTTTCAATTTGGCAAATGGGGATGCCCAGCTATCCTGGTGAAGAGTGACCTCCGATGTCTCTTCGGTATCATATAAATGTCTATATTATACCCTTATGACGGGATTTGATCTTATAGTGGTAAGTGGTAAATGATCTTAAGCTAGCTAATCTATTTAGTCCTGAGACTTATCATACGAAAATAATTTTATCATGGTGCTAGTTTTAAGGAATGAAAAATGTCTTAGACCCATGTCTGAAAGGATTGATATAAAATGTTGAACTATTAAGCTATTAACAGTGTGTCAGGCATGTTGATTCAATATCTATATATTTAAGACTGAGTGCCATAGCATCGAGCAGACTGCGGGACAACAACGCGAATATTGCTGATTTAAGTGATCAGAACAGACCAACAAAGGTGGCTGAAAACTTTTCTGAGCTGTATGACAACGAGTGGACAGATGCTTTTGATGTACTTCAGGATGAACTTGGTGAAAAGGAGACCATAGATTTCCTTCTGAATAGTTTGATGGTATCATAATTATATATATCTAAGAGCAAGGCGTATTACACAAATTATTCTACAAGATCACATATTTTAAGAATTATATAAAATCATTCATTAGAAAAAAATGTTTAAGGTTATATTAAGGGTTCACATATTCATTTTTATACTTTATAATGTTAAAAGGTGCATTATGCCAAAGAAATGTTTTTTTAATATCTCAGAAGCTTTTGTTTAGTTCCTTATTAGCCAATCATCTGATCTAATGTTTGCTTCTGCTACATTTTGACAAAAGTGAAAATAATATGTCATTAAAGAAGCAAAATGTACACTAAGTAATATTTTGACTCCCATACAAAATGTAAAATAAATATAACTGTACTAATTGCCAAAAACCAAATTGTGTGAAAGTTGCATCGGGTTATAGGCAATTGAGTAACATTTCGGAAGTCATCTAAGTGCACTAGAATTAAAAAACGTTAAGAAACAACAATGAAATATATTTCTGGGGCCTGACGTTATAGCACTTATGTCTGCCTGTACTAAAATAAGTAAAAAATGTTTCTGAGGCATAGTGTGTCTTTAACTCAACGCTTGTTTGAAACAATGATATGTTAATCATTCCGTAGACTACGTGGATAAAGACAATAAGCAATGCACCTTCTAACGGTTAAGATATGAACTTCATGTATATTATTTATTGTATCAAAATAAGAGAAGCAATTGTAGTTGGATCCTAACATTCATCTCTATTACAGGAATCATTTAAAATATGCCAAGAAATTTCCTCCGAAAATTATCTTGAAAAAGTCCAACGCTTCATTGAATTCCCAGTACAGGTAACGTTTGCATGTTTCTAAATGAGTGCTTTTATTTGAAATATGCTATTGGAAATAAAATTGTTTGAAACCTTCATTATCATAATCGACTGTCACTTGTAATCATAAAATTGTTACAAATGTATATACAGAAACATAAGCAACATTTGGGGTTCATAGTAGAAATTCTAGTAGCTGGGACATCTTTTGAATTCTTGAATAGTCAAGAAGTAGATCTCCTATCCTGTTGATGATACATGCATGTATACGCATATACACCGTTTCAGAGGGAACCTTCGGGTAACACTCAATGTGAGCTTCCAGACGAGTTGATTCAGCAAATAAAAGAGTTCCGGAAGTCACGTGCAACATACGTCATCAACGTTGTTATAAAGGTGATTAGTTTATTTAGGTTAATAACTTGTAAATATTAAAAAGGTAAACAAATGACAAGGCAATTATTTTTGGAATACCAAACTTGTGTATATGTTGGAAAACAACGATTATCTGAGTGTGTATGGAGGAGTTGGGTTTGGGGGGTCGGTCATACCCTGTGATAACTTAAAAAGCATTTGCTTTTGACATTAGTACATAAATCTAAAGCTGTAACAAGAAGAGCTTTTTGTATCATTTATGAACTTGATTCTATATGTATTCGAATATCTGTAAATAGTGTTATTGATTTTCGTGTATCATTTGAGTATGACTTTGGAGTTATCTGAATATATGTAAAACGTGTGACAGATTTTCTTAGAAAATTAAAACAATATTTTGCGTTTTAGGAAGTATTAGACAAAGTACAATCCAAGTATGACAGTAAGGAAGAAGTACAGGCGTATAAACGCAAGTGTGTCGAGTTGTGCTGGTTAATGGTTGTACAGAATCCACCACTGATCCTATCAACAACCGCTCAACAACAATTTGATACCAATTTGTACAAGGACTATACCAAGCGGGGGAAATATGTAGACTATGTGGTTTGGCCAGCCTTGTTGCTTCACGAAGGCGGTCCTCTCTTATCAAAAGGCGTGGCACAGGGTTGCAAAAAGCAGTCGTAGATGACGATAATAAATATCTGATCTGCTCCTATATGTACAAGTAGGAGGTCCTGTTATATCAAAAGACTTTTGGCAAAGGATGCAATGACCAATTATAAACAATTTTTAATACCTCAAATATTTTGCATTGTATATGTATGTTGTATATATTAAAAATCTGTTCACATAAGTAAACAATATATATATTAAGTAATCAGTTTTAATCAGATGTAATTTGCTACAAGAAAAACGTGTAAAAAATATAAATTCAAATATTCAATATTGAAATATATATATATATAAAGTATAAAATAAAAAATATGAAGCAAAATTCACAATGTTTATTTGAAAACTCTTTTCATTTATGTAATCGAATCGAATTTGTATGTTTTTGCGCATATATTTTTAGTAATGTTTTGTTTGGGAATTTAGCTGAATATTAAGAAAGAGATGTTTTTTTTCTTACCGTTAAATGGTAGCTTTCATAATGTGGTATAATCCATTGTGTTTTCCACTTTAAAATGCGTATAACAAAGTATTAATATAGTAAAGTTCTAACAAAAATACTGCTAATTTTACTTTTGATTTTTATGATTACTTTACTTCAATAACTTGCTAAGCAGAAATATCCTTTATGTTCATTTTAATCATGTTTCGTTTGTTCTATATTTGAAAAAAAATGTAATCAAAAATGTAATCTTTAAAATAAATTTGACTTGATTATTAACCTTATTGAGTTGAAATTTCGTTATTTTTCAAGATGTTTGTATATCAAATATTAATTTTACAAGACATATTTAATTTAATCTTATATAAATGTTAAAGTTCTTCATTCAGTTAAAGACAACAAGAAGAAAGTATATAACCGCTTTCAAAGAGTAAAATCTCCGTGGTTTTGCGACGATTAATAATCAGTTATGTTGCAGATTAACATAAGTGACGCTTGGTGTTTGTTTACATGATCGAGCGGATAAAATACTAGTACATTTGTACTAGTGTTGCATTTGGCATACCCCAAAACGCAAAAAAGATCTACATATCAGACTATACAAAGTCTTAAGAGGTTCAAACAGTTTTCCAAATAATTCGCGGTTCTGAATAGTGACATCAGAGAATAAATATCATAAATAAAAGACGAATTTCAAAAGTAATTTCTATTTATTTTATATCAATTAATACTTGTCAATCAAAAGTGGCCAACTTGTCCAATTGCGTTCTCTAGCATCATTCCGAGAATGGGGAATAGCGCTGCAGTCAAGCGTATCAATTCTGATGCAAAATTTGTAAATCAAAATTTTTTACAGTTTTGTCAAAGTAATGGATATCACTTTTTGGACAATGATAAAATTTTCAAAGAAAATAATGAAATAGTCCCATCTCTGAATGATGATAGTGATCCTTCGGGTATTCATATTTCAAAATGTGGTGCAGACCAATTGTACATCAGTATGACTGCGTTTTTCATTAATGGAAAAACAGATCAGAGTGGCACACTTTAACAGTACACTCACTAAAAGACCCAGTCATAATGATTAACGGTGATACAGATGTAATTTACTTGTTTGATATTATCTCGAAAAATATCATGGATTTATTTTATTTAAAAAATCATATGTTTTACTATGTCATATAATATCGCATCTATTAATGTAAACGGGTTAAGAGATAACAAGAAGAGGTCTCTGATATTTCAATGGTTGAAAATGAAAAAAATTGATATTATTTTTTTACAAGAAACGCATTGCAAAAATGATAACGAATCTAAGCTCTGGGGAACTCAATGGGGTGGCGACTTTTACTGGTGTAATAATAACAACGGAATCCGAGGCGTAGCGATCTTGATAAAACCGTTATTATCAATACCGGTAAAAAACATTGAAAAAGATGACGGGGGTCGATACATCTCGCTTGAATTGTGCGCAAATGAGAAAGTTTACCGCTTAACGAATGTGTACGCCCCGAACAATGGAACGGAGCGCAAAGATTTATTAACTCACTTTCGAATAAGTTAATGGATTTAACTGAAACGCATATAATTGGCGGGGATTTCAATTGTTGTTTAAACTCTAAACTAGATAGAAAATATTGCGGTAATAATGGATATGATAAAGCAGACGATGGTCTAAATGACTTATTACAAATGATTCGTGAGTTAGATGTGGAAGACATTTGGCGAAAACGCTTTCCTGACATTAAGCAATATACTTTTATGCGAAACGAGTCAAAATCAAGGATCGATTATTTTCTTACTTCAAAAATAATTGATAGCGAAGTATTAAGTCCAAAAATACAACATTTTATACATTCAGATCATGATCTTGTTTCGTTGACTTTAAAAATCGATAATGTTCAAAGGGGCCCGGGTCTCTGGAAACTGAATGCAAGTATTTTAAAAGATATTGAATACGTTCAGCTCGTAGAGACATTTTGGAAAGATTGGTCAAAACATAAAGCTAATTTTAACTCAAAACGCGAGTGGTGGGATATGACAAAACATAAAATTAAAACGCTTTCAATTGAATATACAACACACATTTCAAAAACCACAAAGACGAATTAAAGTAATAGAAGAAAAAATCACAAAGCTTAAAGAAACCAATTCAGCCGAGGCCCAAACTGAAATCAAAATATTATCAGAGGAATTGACTTTCTATTATCAGAAAGAGCTCGAAGCACTCAAAATTAGATCAAAAGCCAAACACATTGCTGAAATGAAACCTCTTCGAAGTATTTCTTTGACTTAGAAAAAAAAGAGGGGCAAGCAAAAATTATGGACGCAAATAAAATCCGAATCTGGAAAACTTAAAAGCGACATAAATTCAATTTTAAAAAGAACAGTGTGCATTCTACAAGAAACTTTTTTCTTCTGAAGGAATTGATCTCTGTTTCGGCAGAAAAAATTGGTTTCTAATATAACTACTAGTATAAATAATGATGAGAAATTTGCCCTTGATTCAGATTTTCGGGAGGAGGAAGTTGAAAAAGGTTATTATGGGTTTTAAACTCACAAAATCCCCCGGTGAGGACGGCCTCACTGCAGAATTTTATCAAAAATTTTGGTACTTAATAAAAAACGACTTTCTTGAAGTAATTTTAGAAATTATTGGTTCTTATAACTTATCAAATTCACAACACAGGGGTGTTTTATCATTGCTTTATAAAAACGGGGATAGATCTGATCTTAAGAATTGGCGTCCACTTACACTTCTAAATGTCGATTACAAAATTATTTCGAAATGCTTAGCAGAAAGACTGAAACCATTATTATCGAAGTTGCTTCATTCAGATCAAAAAGGTTTTATTAAGGGTAGACAAATTTCAGAGGCAAACAGACTCATACAGGACGTAATAGATTACACTGATCTAGAAAAGAAAGATGGTGTTATAATTTTTTTTAGATCAAACTAAGGCTTTTGATAGGGTAGAATGGGATTGGCTTGATATCTGCTTAAAAAGGTATGGTATAGGAGACAAATTCAGAAAATGGGTTCAAATGAGTTTAGTCGGCTCGGAAACAGCTATACAAACAAACGGGTTTATTTCTGAATATTTTCAAATTTCCCGCTCTATTAAACAAGGTTGTCCAATAGCGCCGTTTCTCTATATCCTACAAGCAGAACCAATGGCTTGTGCAATCAGAAACAATATTAATATACACGGCATTAAATTGCCTTTGCTAAATGGCTATGAGCTTGAATTAAAAGTATGTCAATTTGTTGACGATACACACTTTTTTTGTGAGAATGAGTCGTCAGTTCCAGAAATATTTAATACTTTAAAAGAATATGAAATTTCCTCTGGGGCCAAAATGAATAAGGATAAAACAACAGCCATCTTTATTGGAAAATCAAAAGAAAGGACTCCGAAATTTAAAGATATAAAATGGACGAGAAATTATGTTAAAACTTTAGGAATTTGTCACGGCTATAATTATAGATACGAATGAAATTTGGATGAAAAAGATAAACAAAATTAAAAATTGTCTTCAAGTATGGAAAGCTCGGGGCCTGACTTTAAAAGGGAAAATTCTTATTCTGAAACATATGTAGTTTCTATTATTAATTTTGAAATTGAAACGCGCGGTATACGACAAAATACTTAGAAGAAATCGAAAAAATTATGAGCGATTTTCTTTGGGACAATAAGCGACCGTTAGTTTCAAAAAAACACAATTCTCCTTGACCTGAAAGACGGAGGTCTTAACTATTGTAATATTTCAAATATTCAAGCCAGTTTGGATGTTAAAACAATATACAAAATTATACACTCTGACATACAGAACTGGAACGCAATAGGAAAATATTTTTTACAAAAATATGATACTAATGGAGAAAATAAAATTGATTATTTTCTGTGTAAATGTTCTTCATTAGAAAATTTACCTTTCAAATTGAACATAAGTACGTTTTACAACTCCGCTCTCGAAAATTGGTGTCGGTTTAAAGCGAAGTTTAAGCCAAAGTCTCTGTCCGATGTAAAAGATATATTTCTTTTTTGTAACACTGAAATTCGTTTTCGCAAGAAAACACTTTACTTCAATTCATTTGTAAAAAGTAATATATTGTTTTTAAAAGATATTTGGGACTTTGAAAATAATAATTTTATTAGCATAGACACTCTTTTAAGGAAATTAAAATGTAAGCGAAACTGGATTGCCGAATGGCATATTCTCAAATCGAGCATTCCTAAAATGTATATAACTGCTTTAAAAGAACATCATTATGAAACAGTGTCGAATTACACTCACTTAGATGATATTGTCTTAACGAGCAAGACGCAAACAAAAATATTGCCTGAAAATATTAAAATAAAACAAATATCTCATATATGGAATCAAAAGACTGGTAAATTAAAAAGTGAAAGTAAATGGGAAACCCTACTTAATATGGAGTTACCATGGAGTAAAATATGGTGCCACGTTTATGATTCTTTTTCTTCATGCAAAGCTGTACAATTTCAGTGGAAATTTTTACACAATGTTATTTATACAGAACACAAGCTGTCTCTTATGAATTTATCTGACGGTAAATGTTGTATATGTAAATCTCACAGAGAAACTTTTTTCATCTCTTCTGGGAATGTGATTTTTCTAAGAATGTTTGGACATATGTAATTCAAAAACTTAAGTCCGCTTAAATTTTGGAAAATGATTTTTCAAATTTCCAATCTACTGCACTTTTTGGATCTTTTGAACACGCAATGAATGATAAATTGATCAATACTGTTATATTCGAAACCAAATGGGCAAAATGCAAATATCGTAACAATTGTAAGCATAATTATTTATATCAACCAATACCTATTTTGTTAAGAAATTTGATCAATGATATAAAATACCAATTTGAATACAAATGTAGAAATAAAAACGATTCAGTGACAGAATTTTTAAAATATTTGTAATTTGTATGAATATTACCTTTAATATATGGGAAGCAACTTAATTGAAATTATAGATTTAATTCATAAAGAGTTAACACACTTTTCAACCTTGTCATTTTTCGCTTTTCGGACAAGTAAATGATACGTTTGCGAATTGTATATTTTTCACATTATCTATACTGATTCTTATTTTGTAAGAAATCAAATATATATACTTGTATTATTGTAAGGCTGATAGGAGGATGCTCCTCGACCCCTATTATGCCAATGACGGGGAAAATAAACGGGGTTACCCCTTAACTGGGCGCCCGAAACTGGAAAAAAAAATACTTGTCAATCAAAATCCATATTTATTAATAAGGTCAAAAGAACAGGTACCGGCCTCATATTTAAAATGGCTAACAAGAGCACCAATCATCGGCGAGTTTTTGAAGTACTATACGAGTAGCTCTAGTTTAATATTCCAACTAACTTTATCACTGTAACAACAAATTAGTTCATTCTACAAACAAGAACATCTCAAAACGGACACACGTACTTTTAAGATTTCTTTTGTTTGCAGAAATGAGTAAAAAATGTTCTATTTCACTGAGACACTTCCAGAGTTTACATACTTGAATAAAAACTTAGTAACACCGGCCACATACAGATTCGTCAATATTCGATAGAACTGACCCTTTTTACTTCATTAACAATTGACGGAGAGGGAGATGATTCTTATTATATACCATCATCAATGTCCATATTAGTATTGATAAGTAAGTTGATTGATTAGTGAATTGAAAATAAGTGTTTAGATTATCGTTAAGTATCATTTCAATAAACTGAAAACGCAAAAAATACTTTTTTTGTATTTCGCATAGAGCCTTCTTAAATCTCTAGAAAGTGCAGCTTCAATTTTTTAGAACTTCCATGTTTTAGTACCGTCCATTATCATTTCTGGTATTACAAGGTAGCCAGCCTACAGTATTAGAGCCTGGTCAAACTTTACGGATGTGCAGGTTTGTCGGGCTCTTAACCTTTTCCCTCATTTAGACGTGTTTTGACGGCTTTTTTCCCCCCCCCCCCCCTCTTTTTTGAGGCCTCAAACAGTGAATAAATGTCTTATTTAGGCCCCAAACACTGTTTTTTGTTTGAGAAATGTTGTTAAAAAAAGCTCTATCTCAATTCATTGAGAAGTTGCAGCACTTTGAAAGTTTTGATGGAAAATAACAATGCAAAATAGTGATTTTTGGCAATTTTAAGACATCCCCCGTTGCCATGGTATCAGAAAATTTACGATTGAGCATGCTGTTACAGAGGCTTTGGTCTAGTCAACATTTGTGCCAAGTTTCAGCAACATTGAAGCATTTTTCATAGTTTCATAGCAGTTTGAACTTGTAATAGGAGGTTTTTCAATGTAAACGGCCATTTTTCACAATATGCTCATGGGGTAAAAGGTTAAAAATTCGTTTAAAATCATGATTAATTTCTAATCCTAATGATAAGTTAAACCGAATGACAATTTTAGACCCGGTGTAAAATTATCTTGGAGTCAGAGTAAGACTTTTTTGATTGTTTTACAAATACATGTACATGCAAATTTTCTAAACCCAGCTGTTGATAATGTTGTCTGATATAAAAAGGTAATATTGTGAAAACCGAATCTCAAATTCGCATAAGTTTAAGCTTATCATTCTCTAACCATATTTTCAAGTACTCAATTTTGGCTTTATAAAGATTCAATGCATGATGAGATATAAATGCATTTTGAAATACATGTATTATCAAAACAAGAATCATATCCAAGAGCATAACTCTGTAGATTAGAAACAGTGTTTTTATTATTGTTGTGTCCCTTTAACGTAATCAAAATAACATCCTGGTTTCGAAAGTCTAGAGTTTAATTGATAACGAGAATCTTTTACCTTTTTAGTGGAAATGACGAGATTAAACGTGTGTGAAATGTATATTTTCCACATAGTGTAAATATAGAGTGTATCATAAAAGGTAAAAGCGGGTATATATTATGTTGATTTAAACTTTTTCATTTGTGTGTATTTTGATTAAATAGTCTTAGTTTCGATATCGATATAGGTTTGTATAATACTATACCGGGTATATTACTGATATACAATTAACGTATAATTTCATGAAGTTTGGGCTATCAAATATAAATGTATATTATTTTCACGTTACACGAAGGTTTGCGAATAAATGTATTAGTAATTTGGATATACATGTATTCATTGAACTCGTACCGATTATGACCATTTAAAAAAACTGTATATATGTACACACGTTGACATACGCTATATATTTATATAATTGTATGTACTACTCTTTAATCTGTTGCTTGACATCTATTCATCCTTGTGTTGTAGGGTCAAATAGTTCAATAGTTCTTCAGCTTTGTCAAGATAAAGAAAGAATCACATCATGGGGAACATCATCCATGGTTTTCCAGGATTTCAATACATCACAAATAGCGACAGTGGACCCCCTCCAACTAAGAAAAGAAAGCTCGAAGACGGCAGCAGTAGTATCGGAGGCTCAATGTATGAAAAAGATTTGGAAATACATCATTTGAATTCGGAAATAAAACGGTTGGTTTCACCAGATTTATAACTGATAATTTTAGCTAATACATACATCATTTGCATAACAGGTAGTGTTGTTTGTTTTAAAGTAGAAACAATTCATTCTTATTTCAGTGGTAATATATTGAAAAAAGACTGAATAAAGATCACTTCCAAACTTTCAAAAATTATATGTTCAAAGTGTTAAATCTGCATTCAATAAATATGTAAACATATTTTCCTGTCGGCTTAAGAACCACTCCAGTCACTCTTTTTTACAGGTTTACCTTACTGTTATAAGGTTTACTATCATGATTTGGCATTTGACCTGTTTTTCTGTCTTCAGCTTATAATATGGGAACCACTGGCCCTTTGTATGTCATTCATATGTGTACATGTAAATATGACTAAATCAGCTTATATTTTATGAGGATCTCCATTGTAAGAGTAACAACAGAGGGCCCTTTAATTTTTGGTCCCTACAGCCTATATAATTTTGATTAAACTTAATTTTTATATTTTAGTATAAAGGAATCGTGCGTGTCTATTGAAGATTATGAAGACATGAAACATAAATATCTAATAGAAAAGAATGCTAAGGATGACGCCTTACGAAGGTATTCATTATAAACATGTACATACATAAACCTAAAAATAGCCCTTTTTTGAAAACATGATGCGTCTTCTTTCAATGCATTGAAACGTATAAGTTTCTAGTCGATTTGTTGGTTGCTTGGTTAAAGTGGACTAAAAGCTTCGTTCCTTATTGTCATTTGATCCAAAACTGTCATAGTCTTATGACATAGTCATAAACTCATACCTTTATTATTTTATGTTATGCAAGATTGAGTGCCATCGCTTCGAGCAAATTACGGAATAACAATCCAAACATCGCTGACCTTAGTGATGCAAACAGACCTACAAAAATAGCCGAAAAGTTGTCAGAGTTATATGACAACCAATGGACAGACGCTTTCGGTGATCTGGAAAAAGGCATGAACGAAAGAGATATAATCCACTTTCTAAGGGACATCTTAATGGTTAAGTATCGAATGTTCTTTTAAATAGAAGTAAATATCTTATAAAACTTTTTCTTGATTGAACATACTGTAATTAAACATAAATATATGGATACTAGTAATTTGAACAGTGTTGGCTAACGATGCTAGCATTTGGCAAACTGTTTTCTTCAATCTTGCCAACCTCAATTATCGTTCACTTAATTTACGTTTCCGAACGATATTTCATTTTCGGCATAGCATTTAATAATAAAATATTAAATTATTTTAAGTGTATACAGTGTAGATTTAGAAAATGTTATATGTAAGAAATCATATCTCTTATATATTTTTTTCAACAGAAATCCTACGCAGAATGTAAAGCAATATCCTCTGATAACTACTTTGAGAAAATTCAAAGATGTATAGAATGTCCACTACAGGTATATTTTTACATTGTGCATTACAAAATATTTAAGATCCATTTCATACAAATTTTTAGATTAAAGCTGCTGAATACATGTATATTAGTGCAAAATTAAAAGATATCCTTTGACTAGAGGTACAAAATATAATGGTACTTACGGTGGTCCCTTATTTTAGTACATGACAGGTCGATTTGGTACAAAGCAGTTTAAATTGATGAAAATAGTAAACGTATTTCTAATTGGGTGAGTCTAAGGTAACACCACTTGCCTTTCCTTTATCGCTGCAGATAACTCCACCAGATATATTTTTAAACCTTGTATATGAGGAAGCTATCAAGCTTGGCTATGAAAGGTCGATAGTTCTGCTTGGGATCCTGCTCTCGCCGAATAAATGCTTGCGGTGGCATCACATGATATTGTTAACTATTTAAGTGAAAAAATTCGCAATATTATTTCAACAGTGTTCCCTCCAAGCGAATGAAATTTGCTTTAACACTAAACATTTTAGTTCGCAGGGTCTGGGCAGTTGAAAACGGGATCAGTCCTTCCTGATTATTTGAAACATCAAATTAAAGAATTCAGAAAATTTCGTGCTATGCATGTAGTCAAGGATATCGAAAAGGTTTGTTTAACAAAACCCTAGTTAAATTTATTAAGTTTAAGTTTTTTATTGTAACAGAATAATGAAAATTTATTTGGGTCTGTGTATACCTACTGATCATATTCTGTTTTGTTTGATCTGTTTTTAACTGCTACGTCTTGATACTTCACATCATATTGATTTATCTGAAACTCTATATATAATCATAGTTACCATAAAAAATTATAGAAATTGCATTTCTTTATATAATTTAAAATATTTCAAACCATTCATGTTACCACCAATGCATTTTCATTTTCCTACGAAACAGGCAATAAAAGGAAAACTTAACACACATTCCAAAATGAATGCAGGAGTCGATAGATTTATATCAAGCTGTGTTGAGATCACGTGGTTAATGGTGGTACAGGACCCTCCTCTGGTATTGTCTGCGACATCATCTTCAAAGTTTGATTCTAAAATATTCAGGGAATACACAAAGCGGGGACCTAATATCGATTACGTTGTCTGGCCAGCTCTTTTTCTTCATGAAGGAGGTCCTCTGTTAGTGAAAGGGGTTGCTCAAGGATGTGTTCAACACCATCGATATCGATAATTTTATTGATCGTCATTTTGTTTGAATTAAATACATTCCAACTTTATTGACATTTCCATATATATTACTTGTTTTTAGTTTAAAAGGTTTAAACGAACGAACGATTAAACGAAGAACAAACAAGCGAATGAATAAAAAAGTAATGAATTGATTAATAAATTAATTTAGGTTTACAACAATCCGACAAAAGAGTGAATAATTGCCGATTACATAATAATATTCATTTTACAAATTATAATAAAACAACACGTTTTCAAGAAAATAAGTATAACACCTTGTAAAACATAATTTGCATGAGTCATAAGTTCAACGAATGGGATAAATATAACGTTTTAAGTTTTTACTATAGGTTTTTACATGAGGATGATCTCATTACATTATCATATGATCTCTAGAACTAAAAATAGTGTTATGATTGTGCTAAATAACGAACACTTCAATGTACAACGAATACGTAAGTGTTGTTATATTTTTCGTTTTTTGGGTTCATTTGTTTCAGCATGTTTATGTTGATGATTGAATACCGCCAGCTTAAACCGGTGATTGTCGGCGTGAGAAATGTTGATCTCTCATGAATAGACTCAATTAAACCGTGCATGCAATTTATATTGTTGCTTCAGTGTTCACGGAGGACCTACCTTTCTCTATACTTTTACCATCACAGTTCTATCTTTCAGTCGAGAAGACAACTTGTCCTTGCAATCTATCATTTAAACGTTTTGCATACCGGTATTAATATTAAACTATAAAGGGCATATATTAGGAAGAGTATTTCTCATGTATATGTATTAAAATATGAAGGAGTTCTGCTTTAGCCTGTGGGGGGCATGGAAGGAATTTGTATTGACCTCTGCCGCCCTAGAACTTACTTATTCAAACCGAGCCTGTACTAATTCCGTGACTTTTAAGGTTTCAATTAAAGTTTTTTTTCGATCCTTCTATTTAGGACTTTCAATTGATGGATGGTTCGAATATTCCCACTTGAATACATTGAATCACTCTTAAGATGTGTTTTTGAACGGTAAATACCACTACACCACCGTCCATGAACAGCCTGAATCAAATTTCAATTTTAAATTCTATGTTTCTTTACTAAATAGTACTTCAAAGTTTTATAATTGAGTAACTAAGTGCACAAAGTATCAAAATCAAACTTATTTAGACATCATCCAGCCAAAATCATAAGTAAACTAGTAAATGATTAGTTGCGCACGGTAACCTTATAATGATAAATATATCAGTTTGCCACTTATAATATTGAAATTACAAGGGGATTTTCTTCCTCTGGTGTAACTCAGAAGTTTCTGTAGAACGAATTAAACTTCTCTTGATTTCGCCATTTAAATACTTGTTTTTCCTGGATAAATAAGAATCAGATCAATTTTGTTTTTAAAACGAAAGTGTATCCACACATCAGTTTTGAGCTTTACTTAAAATGACCTTTTAACAATCATGTCATTTAACTGGATAATATGTGCATTTTTATTAAAAGAAAGTATAATCATTGACAATGAAATAGAATTTAAAATTGTATTTTCACTAAAGCTGATTCATATTGATATATTTATACAGGTTAAAAATGTAGCTAGCCAAATATCCATCGAAAAAGTACAAAAGTAATGTTACTGTTGACATAAAGATTATATTGTTGTGTGGGCAGCAATACGTTTGTTCGCGAAGGCGGCCGTCTTCTCTCTAAAGGTGTTGTGCAAACAAAGAAGATTTGATAATCAGACTGAAACAAGTAATAATAAAACAACATCTTTACTAACGTTTAACCTGACAAACACTTGCCAAGCAAACACATACAAAATAAGCAAGCCAGCAATAATTCGTCACACCAATCCTAGCTAAGATTTTGTTCGAGATATACATGTACATACATGTACTTGTATTGCTTTTCGTATGTTGTATACAAAAGTCGCGCTCTTATTTTATTTGTTAGAATGTTTAAATCGATAATGAGCAGACTGAGTCTAATCGAGTCTGTAGTATTTTTTGACTGCTGTTTTGACCACCCTGTTAAGTTTCCATTTCTAATAATTTAAATATATAGAATGTTATGTGATTATAAGTTTGTGTTTTTCTTTCAATTTGCATAGATGGATTATTAATATTAGTGATTTTACAATCTAATAAAAATAATTTCCTAAGTAATTACATGCTTAAAGGTTGCAAAGAGACATGAACTTTAGTCAGATAGGGTGATTTTACATTTTGTTCAACGAAACAAAACTATGTTTCCATGCTAAGTGTTAGTAAAAACATTGCTGAAGACATTGATATGTTGAAAAATTTTGAAAAAGAGAATTTTAAAGAATTTAACAAAATTAGGATTGCCAAGTCAATCTACTCTAACAACATTCACATATAAATTATCCAGTTGCATCAAAAATATTTATGCTTAATAAACCGCCTAGACTAATGCCTAAAATATAGAATCCATGTGCATTTGCATTACTGGCTACCTTTATTTCAAGTTTCTTTCATTTTCTCGACAGTTGATTGTGCAGATAATTACAGAGATGCTCTTAGTTATTTATAACATATATAAAACCGCGCTGTCATATTACTTAATTAGAATCCAAACTAAAGGCCCAAATAGATTTGGAGGCTGTTCGTTGCCAAAAATCCAGCCTTGTTGATCTGTGTTGAACAGTTTGTTAATGGACAAAATACAATTGTATTTCTTTGTATGTAAACTCCAATGTTGCATTCTTGAATTGAGTTTGCCGATTTAACATCGTAAAAATGCATGTAAACAAAATACATTTTGTTAAACGACAAAACATTAACTGATAGTAGCAATACCAAGTGTTCGAATACTCATTGTTCGTGTATACGCCGACAAAACAGAAGTTACATTTTTAGCTTTACATTGTCGAACCATCATGATTCGGATCTTTAGACGTTTTTCAATAGGAGATAAAATAAGCTCCGCCCATTTTCCCGCCCACTACATCATCGTAAATAAACGTATTTATCCGCTAATTTTCGGTATTTACCGTCGGCGTCAAGAAGCGGCGTAGTTTCCGTTTACCATACCTTTTACGTATTTAGTTATTCACCAAACATAATTCACTTGCATGATTGCCATTCTATGCCTTTATACAATCAACATCAGCGGACTTTAAAAGGATTATAGGCATATAAGAAACTTAAAAAACACACCAGGCTACTTACTGTCTGAGGTTAAATATTTTTCAAGGAATTAGACTATATTCACCGACAAATAAATTTTACTGAGGGTATTCCAATTTGCATAGAAATGAGTAACATTTACAGTTAAGCTGCTACTTTACCACTTTCAAATTTTCAAGTCAACATCTGATAGAGATTTTGATACGACTAATTACTAATACAGACCAAATTCTGGCTGTTGTCTTTCTTAGTAGTAGCATTTACTATTATATTAGTAACCTTAATTCTAGCGTATGACTTGACAAGAAAAAAACTTTTAACAATAGTAAAATTATAACCAAAGTTGTATAACTTTTTAATTTTTACAATACTGTAGAAATATAATTTCCCATTTTTCCCATTTTGTTTTTAAATAATAATATTTCAATGAGTCCTAATGTATGTATGTTGATTATCAATTTATGTTTACCTTGTTTATTTTATCTCTTAGAAAGCCATCACTTACACAACTTAATAAATATTCTGTGTAGTATTCATGTACATAAAAATAGTTCTCTGTTTTTAAATCATATGACAGCATTGGTGTATACAATATTTTAAGGTTGCTTTGATTTGAAAATACAAAAAAGACCGTCCCTCGAAAGTTACATATTTTTTAATAAAAAAGGCTAATAAAACCTATACTAAAAAATCCCCCCCCAATGGGGGGTAAAAAAGGATCTAGAACGCGAAAGCTACCGAAATCTTTTTTAAACATAAAAATGTGAAAAATTAAAAATTTTGGTTATAAAACCCCGGAATAACGATGAAAACTTTGAATTTTTCGTGTTATACCTTGGTAAAAAATATGTTTTTTCTAAACCCAACAATCTTTAAAATAAGAAGGGGCTTACTGTTCGTTCTCTTATTTTTTTTGTAAAAGTGATTTCCCCATTATCGATTCTGTACTATTTAAAAAATGAAAAACATGCTTTTAAGTGTTGCCGTGTAACGTTTTGAAGGCAACAAAACCGTATCGCTCATGTCATTAAATAGTGGTGTGTGTTATATATATGGGAAGCATTTTTCCTTATGCTTAAATCAGCAACTTTTAGTTTTTGCATATTATTATGTTCATTATAGTATATACATTGTTACAATTGTTACATTATATCTTAACCAATTTTTGCATTACTTAAAAATATCCTGTACTAGAATACGTTTTAACAAAATCAGAGGATGTTGAAAGTCAACTGTAATGCCTGTTGATGTAACTATGTGAATTTTTTTAACATTTTCAATATAATTTGAAATATCTTTGTACAGCACAAAGAGTTACCTCTCCTTTTATTCTGTTTTCGTGAAAATTGGCCCCGCCTATTAATTTTCGTCTATTTCCGTGATAATTCCATATTTGGAAAGTTGCAAAATCGTTTTTTGCAAATGTTAATCGCGTTAGAATGTAAAAGGAAAGTGTGGTGTTGTAAAACATGAGTGTGTCAAGTTGATGCAGTTACATTCTCAACGTCTTGATGCACAGCATTAAACGTATTGTGTACGTTCTTATATGTCGCAAATTTGAAGTTATACATTTATAAATACAGTTTGCAATTTATCTAAGTTGCATGTTAACAGCTTTCATTTATCAAATCTAGATAATCAAAATGCTTAATACCAGTGCAGTATGGAACTCTCTGATCGAAAATTAGATTTTTACTTATCTGTTTAGTAGAACCGAAGTACGCATTGTCAAGTTTCAAAGGCTGGATTTTTGGCAACGAATAGCCTCCATATATAGACTGCTACGTAATGGGAGATTCTTTGCTATAACAGTATAAGTATCGAGAATCAGTACAATTTTATCTTGACATGTAAATGCTTTATAAAGGATACTTCTATAAAAGACAATCTGTATTGAAATGCATTGAACATCTATCATAACTTATCCATTAAGAACATTTAATTATAGAAATTCTATTGCTTTATAAATATGGAGATGAACCTATGACATCATACCTTTAAAGTATGTATCAGCGAAACATAATCACGCAAGTTCACATTTTCGTGAAATAGGCCGTCATTGTTTTATGCTATCTAAATTACGAACATAATACATGTAATCACTTGCTAATGCTCAACTATATGATTTCTCTTTTTCATCATTTTAAACATATTTACATATTTCATTGAAAACACAAATGTATATTGAACGATTTTGATTTGATTGATGTATTACTACATTGTGTATTAGTACAAAAAATACTAGGTAAACGTCAAAAAGTTATATACTGTTCTGTATATTATTTCACAAAAAGATATTGGGGAAAGTGTTACAATCAATTATAATAAAACATTTATAATATCAACCACTTTTGTTAGATTAGTATAGAACTTAAACTTAATATTATCTGTGTGGTAAGTTTAAAGCAAAGGGGTGCGACTTTTATATTTGTCCTAAATATTATTTGCCCTCATTACCAGCCCATGTTTATAACACTACATATGAACAGACATGAGTATGTCGTAAGTTTCATCAATATTGCGGATATACAAAAGCAGGACTAGAAATATCCCATCTGACCTGTGCTTACCGGACTGCAGCAGAAGTATTGATTTTAAACGCACATTAAGCTGTATCCCGGTTGGATGACTTTATCTAAACGATACGTCTATAATGATTATTTCGACAATTTACATAGTTAGCTTTTTATACAACAGGCAACAAAGAGTCACTGTCCAATGATCGTCATCTTCTCTTCTTAGCGTCAGGGCTGGTGTTTCTCAGGGATCTTTTCTACACTGCTTTTCCAAATATTATAAATGACATCGTAATTTACATCGACGCCAATATCAGTCTTTTTGCAGATGACTCAAGTTTATCTCTTATCGTTGATACACCGAAAATCCAGCAAATGCACTAAACTCTGTGGCTGAGCAAAGACTATATCAATGACTATCTCACAGAAAGATATCAAAACTCAACATCCTTCCTTACTACTGCAAAAATGTAATTTCTGAATCTTCGTCTCATACACATTTAAGAGTTGTTCTATCAAACGATTGTTCATGGCCAAATAACCTGGAACATATTAAAAACAAAGCTTGAACAAGGATCAATATTCTCCCAAGCCTAACAGAAATACATTAGAAACATAAAATTTGACATTTATCCACCCATTATAAGAGTATGGAGATATACTTTATGATAACTGTTCAGCTAGCAACAAGCATGAATAATAGATATGATTCAAAACGAGGCTACCAGAATAGTCGAATGTGCCACTAAAATTTATTCTCTTGAAAAATTTTTATGACGACCATGGATGGGTATCAACTCACATTATAATCACAAACTGGCCTTTATTTACAAAACACATAATAGTCTATGTTCTTCTTACTTACACTCTTAAATCCCAAGACGTCACACCGAAAAATACGCCTTTATAAATTCCTCTGGTATTCATTCTATATATTGTCAAATAACCTGTTATCAAAATTCTCTTATCCCGTCCAGATTCCGTTCTTGGAATACCAAATCATCAGATTCTGTACATCAATTTATGCGACTTCTTTGTAATCCACGTAAACCCCCTAATTACTATAACACAGGGCCTCGCAAACTTCAAATCTTGCATACGCGCTTACTTGACAAAAGAACATTTCCGAATTAAACATATGCGCTTGTTGTCAAACAGAGACAGTGTGTCATTTTCTTCTTAACTGTCCTTTGTATCAACATGAGCGAGATATCCTGTTTAGGAACATGATACAGCCGGATAGATCCCCGATCATAACCCGCACTCTGCTTTTGCATTATACTAATTGCCTTTCAAATAACAAAATTGTAGAGCTTTCAGGTTTGTTTACTTTGATATTGATTCTACGAAAAGATTGATATAATGTCTGACTGCTTTTGCTATGCTGCTTATATTCATTTTTGATGTTTGTCTTTTTTTTATCTTTTATCGTTTCTTGTTTTTTTTAATCAAAACTTTCTAAAAATTCTTCTTAACATCAAAAGATGTTTCAATTTTCAATCTTGCATTATCAAATCTGTTTACTTTCTGGTAACATGTTAATTATAACATTGAAAATGTTATTGTTAGATAATGGCTTTTATAAGTTTTTACTTTCAGCCCAGATCTATATTTAATGTAATGTTGTTACTGACATATGTTCAGATATTCTGAATAAAGTATTTTAAAACAAATAGTTAACCTCTTATATACTACTGTATCAAATATCCAAGGCACAATGTTATTTAATACCCGTGTAACTATTTCAATTGTTTCCCTTTCTAATATTATTCCCTTCTGTACTAGTTGGCAAATATTTATTCTACAACAGGACATTATGTCGAAATATAGCTTTTGTAGAGATGTTCAAGCATCCAGCAGGTATGCTATTTATTTTATTATAATCAATTTCTCCTTTCTAGCATTCAAGCACTAATTACAAATTAAAATACAAGTAGTTTTATACGGTTTTAAAAACGAAAGTAGAAATAACTAAAGTTAATAATAATAATTTTTCATGAAAATCAAACTTAAGAATAATACACTATGATTTTAAGACAAGTAAAACGATTCAAGATTTAAGTTATAATTTACATGTAATGCACGATTAAATACAATACATATCAGCATATTTGTACTGCGTTACTAACGCAGTAAGGGATATGTGTGTATATTTTGACCTCTTTTTGGTAATTTATATTGATTGTATTTGCCGTTTGTAATGTATTTTTGTTTCGTTCACAAAATTGTACTGATAAATACTTTTTTGAAGTTTTCATGAAAATTAGAATAAATCTGGAGGCATGCCGCATAGATTTGTTTGGAGGAAATTAAAAAGAAAATAACTTAAAATCTAATGAAATGCTTACACGTTCACATTTACCAATACTGAGTGAAACATTTCGTATTATATTTTGATTAAGGTTTACAATAATGTAACCTGTTAAGATAAAGAGAATTATTATACTTCATATATACTTTTCTCGCTTGTTGTGAAGATTGATATTTGTTTCATCATTTAAAAATGCTTTGTTGAAATTTCCATTTTCTGCAAAGGTGATTTTACCTATTTTTTGGTATAAAAGATGAAAAGATCAATTGAATAATTAAATGAATGACTGAACGAATGAATAAATAAATAAATGAACGATTGAATGAATAAACGAACATGAAGTGTATATTTATCAATCATCTTCTTATCTCGGATACGTCACCAGTCCAGAGATAATGATCTTTGTTTAATGTCGCTTCAAAAAAACACGAGGGTTTTATGACCACTCTTGTCTTTTATACACATTTTTGTTACCGCAATTCTTACAACCGTACTTAGTGCGTTAACGTTAGAGAAAGGATATACTCTTATCGAAACCGGAAGTAACTTTAGTTTGCTAGGCAATCAGAATACAATTGAATGACCCTGAATACTTGTTTGTGTCAGCTAAATAACTATTCTGTCTTTTGCGGAAGTGAAAGCATTGAAATTATTATTATTAAAATTATTATTATGTACACAATTAAAGTTCTTGTCTTATTGTTCAACTTGGTTTCTATAAGAATAAACGTAATCAAATAAAAGATTAAATTTTCTTAGCAATTACTGTTATAGTAGAACACACACAAAAGCACAAGATTAAACCCATAAAAATACCTCTCCGTGCAACACTAAATTTGTTTTTCAAATTTTCGATCTCGATTAAAGTAACAAAAATAGTCCAGTGATAAACCACGAAGTTAGTAAATTTAGCTTTTTTTGAAAATTGACATTATGTCTATTCAAGTGAAAGGTGCCAGTAAGGATAAAGATAACATTAATGTTAGCAATCCGAATCAACTTGACAATGGAAAATGAGCATTAAGTCAATTTAATATATACAAGTGTCTGACCAATACATGTATATGTAGCTGTACGTATTGAAATATACTTTCTTTTGTCGTCTACAACGTATAAACTTAAGTAAACCGCCTCGGAGAGTTTTACATTCTAAATGAATTGGGCCTAGTGATAAAACTTAATATCTTCAAAATAGGAGAACACGAAAGAAAGTTGTTTTTTGTTTTCATTATATAATTATTTTTGACGATATGTAATATTTACGTAATCTTAGTTTTAACGATTTTTAAAAATTGTCTATGCTCATAATGTACAATGTTATTACTTCAGCACTAATCAATTTGTCTTTTTAGCGTCACCTTTCAGACAAAATACGATCTTGATGTAGATAGGTTACGTATTTATGCCAAAAACATAAATGAAACCGCAAAAAATCTCCACAAAGAGCAGAAAAACATCTGGAGAATGATGTCACGGAGTAAAGAAAGCAAACAATTTCCAAAATACATTGAAATATATGAGGAAAGTCTGCGTGAAATTAGAGAAGATCTGAAGAGGATAGGTTCTGTACGTATTAAACATAATACTATTATTATTACAGCTTGTTTAAATTTTAGTTCAGCAAAATATTTAAGATCGCTTCTCTATGATCGTTAAACATTTTCATATAAGTGTCAATGATAGTTTAAATAAAATTTTTGAACATCAATGTTTGGTATTTAAAAGGACTTCATTCAGGGTTTTAACATGACGGGACTAGCAATAATTTCTTGTGACAAATGTTTCATTGAAAATTTTGTTGTAAGTCTAGACTAATAACTCGCGTGCAAAACATCAACATTCTCCCACTCCACTCACTCCTTCCATAATAATTATTCTGATGTTGAAAAATGACCCACAAAAGTTACAATGCTTTAGCTCAAATTGGTTTGGCTAAGATTGCACACAAGTATATTTCTGAACTATCAATTGCATACCTTTCTGTATAAATTACCCCAGCTGATCAAATTAAAACATTCAAATTTTATGTTTAAGGCTATCGGACCACAGAAGAGTTCATTCAAACATTGCTTGAACATTGATACTTCAAAAGCAATACTTTCGATTTTTTTTCAAACAATTAATGAATAAATGAATTCATCAAAATTTTGCTATAATTTCAGATTTTAAATGAAGACAATGATGATACAAGCTTAAACAGTAGAAAGCAACATGACAGATCAACATCATTAAATGTGCCGAAAAAGAAGAACAGTAAAGCTCTTTCAGAAACATTCACGACCGGCGGGGCAACAGAATGTTTTCGATGTCTCTCTAAAGACAAGACAATCCAAGACCTTGAAGTGAATTTAAAAATGTTAGGTTCAGAATAATTTCCATGAAAACCTTAAGAAAACATTCTTCAAGAAATTAAGAAAAACAAGTCATTTTGAATATTCATACCAACGCCAATAAAATGAATGTAAAAGAAAAGAATGATGTGTTACAAAAGCTTTAATAAAGCAATAAATAAGTGGAACAACACATAACCAAGTAACATTACAAGTCACCTACAATAAATTTTCTTTCTTGTTTTCTTTTCAGAATCGAACGGAGCTCTGAACAGAAGTAAGGTGCCATATTTGAATTAATGTGCTTGTTTTGTTTAAATGCTGTTAACTCTTAATGGTATATTAAACTAACAATACGTATGCCAGAAAAAACCCAGAAGAAATTTGATTTTTAGACATTCACCTATTCAAATTATATCATTACTCTGTAATATATTACATATTAGGTAAATAAGTATTTCAATTCGTCGTTGTTGAGTGATTTCAATTACGTATTACTTATCTAAAACCTATATATATATTTTTAGCATAATGCAACTCACTGAATCGCTGGACGATCTTCAAAGACGTTATGACAAACTGGAACGAAGTTTCAACGAAGAAGTACGTGTAAAAGATAATTCACTGCAAAGGTGATGTTTGTAATGTGATTAAAATAAATGCTTGAATCTTGTCAGTTGCTCTGCAAACGGAAATTGAATTTTTCAGCTTTTAATCAGAAAACATTTGTACAAATTAGAATGAAGTTTTTCATTTTTGTTTGAAAAATATGTATTGCAATTTGTTTTATGATTTACAATATTTTTATAAAGCACAAGTATAACAATTAAAGGGTCTTAAAAGGTGCTCGTCCAATAATGTGACGTTGTATGGTTCTTTAAAAACGTTTTAATTGTACTTCATATTTTACAAGATAGAAACTGATTAACACTGTGTAGTGCCATTTTATTTTTTAATGCTTTGGACAGGTTTAGTAAAGAGGCGTCATCTAAATTATGTGATAATAAACCGATCATCACTGATCTCAGTGACCCGACCAGACCTACAAGAGTAGCTGAGAAATTGTCTGAGCTGTATGACAACCAATGGACAGATGCGTTTGACATTTTAGAAGAGCAAATGGAAGAGAAACAAGTGATTCATACATTATTAAACACTTTAATGGTAAGGAAAAGTATACATTTTATTATGTAATAAGTAAGCTTATTATTATACAAAATTATATAGCCATATTAAGTTTTTCCTTTGAAAAAATATATATCAAATATTTATTTATTATTGCAATTTATATATGCATTATCAGATATAATCGTGTTTTTTGCAGACTACATATGATACTTGTCAGAAACTATCGAGCAGAAATTTCTTCGAAAGGGTCCAAAAAGCTATTGAGCTCCCAACAGAGGTATTTAGTATTAATATTATTCCAGTCAGTTAACATATTTCAATTGTTATTTAATGTCAATTTCTCTTCAGTTCGAAACGATGCACCAACACAGGTCTATCCTTTATAGAACTTTCTAAAATTATGATTATGTTTTACTAGTTTAGGATTGGCTATCATTCATGAACAGTAGTCCTGTCAAATATATTAAACTTCAAATCATAATTTACCCGACCCATAATGAAATTTATGTAGTTTATATAATTGATGTACATAATTATTTTGATAGTTTATCAGCTATTATTACTAGCCTAATATTTTTTTTATTTAGGTTGCTGAAATTTCGAAAAACAAAGTTGTTTTATCCGACCAGTTAAAACAAGAAATAAAAGAGTTCAGGAAGAACCGTGCCCCATTTGTTATACGCGATGTTGAAAAGGTAAACTTAATTCATAAATAGTCCCTCTGTTTTGTCTTGCTTGCAATAAAAATGAAGCTACTTGTACATCAGTATTGACTGATCACTGATCATTCTTTAATTGATTATGTCAGCATATTAAACCGTAATTCTAACTTTTCTTTAGCTAACTTGAAATTCTAATTTATAACGTATTCATGTATATATTATTATTTTATTTAAGTGTATACTCATTTAAATCAATAAAAACTAAAACTAGATTGCTTATCGAGCTTAAAGATATTGATATGATAAAGAATAACTTTAGGCTGTACGACCAAGACTGCAGCTAGCCAATCATCGATCAAAAGTTGTGCAAGAATATGTTACAGCATGCGTAGAGATTGCATGGTTGTGCGCTGTGCAAGATCCTCCACTGGAGTTGGATGCAAAATTTACAAACATATTTAATACTAACATATTCAAAGATTATACAAAACGTGGAGAATTTGTTGACTTCGTTGTATGGCCAGCAATGTTGCTTCATAAGGGCGGTCCTCTTCTTTCCAAAGGTGTTGCGCAAGGGAGATGTGATTATTCAGACTCCGACGAGAACCCTTGATATGCCTGATTTAGAAAAGAAAAGGTGGGTTCAATATCCAAACAGGCACATACACTGACAAACATTTCTTTAACCAACAAGGAGAGGGATACCACTATCGTGACCATTTATCCTGTCCGGGACAGGACAATCTAAAACTATGTATATGTCGTCAAGAACAAATGCAGCAATTGAGTATAGCCACAAACAAATCCCACTCATTCCACAAACATTTCACACTTGTCTTAAAAATATAGGAAATTCTGGCATGCATGTCAATTGTAAAAATAAAAAGAATATAAACGGATGCAGCTTTCTTATCGTATAAAAAGTGTAACTATCAGTCAATAAAGATTGTTAGTTAAAGGTCGACTGCTAAAACTGAAGTACAAAGAAACAGTGTATTGAAACGCATTTCATTGTCCCTTTGGGATTAAACTCATTTCTTTTTCATTATTTACTGAAACGAGCATGCGTGTTCAGATAAGTTTATTTTATATAGTTATAAAGAGCTTAATTTAATTATTTCTTACCTAACAAATAGTACTTATATTCTAACTTATGCTGTTAGTCTTATATAGTAAATTTCTATATATGTATCTTCCACTATTTTTTATAATATTTCATAGTTTACGAATATATAGAAGTGTGTACACAACTGAATAAACAATGTAGAGACTATAGAAAATTGGTACCATTCGTATAATCTAAATCGTAAAAATGAATAATTTATTGTTAAAGAAGAAGTATTGTATGAAGAATTTTAAGTTTTATTTCACCAGAAAAATAATAGGCATGTGTCGTTTGTTTTTCTTAAAATTCTGTTTGAATGATGATAGAGTTGGAAGGTTGCGGACATCGTGTGAAAGATAATTCCATTCCCTTATTGCAGTCGGCAAAAATGATTTAAAATAAAGTGATGTTCTGGCATAGATACTCAATATTTCCTAGGTTGTACCTGTCATTAGTTGCTGAGAGATTTGAAGAAAAGATTATCTGGAGCTAGTCCATTTTGAATTTTAAAAAGTAAGATCATTCTATGAATATATCGTCTTTCTTCGAGAGATTCCCAGTTTATTTGATTTAACAGATTTACACGGATTAACAGTGACCTGTTGTGAAACCTGGAGTCTGACCATTTTTTCTTTAACATGACAAATGATGATCCGATCAACACGTTTATTGACTGGTAACTAGTTTATTATGCGAAAGTGATTTGTACCAATATGCGACATGGCATCAAGATCAAGGACAAATCTTAATTATTCTGTACCTGTAGTTCATTTCTAAGGTACTGGGACAGATCGGTATACGATATCGAACAACAGTAATCAAAATGACATTGGATAAAGGACATAACTAGAAGTTCCTTAGTATGTTGAGTAAGGTTATCATTTATGCAAAATAAATATTTATATAACAATTGAAAATATGTAAAAAAAACTTTATTAATAATAACATATACTTGATCTAAACTGAAAGGACTCAACTTTTTTAATAACACGAAGTGACTTACAAATACATTCTTCCGGATATTGATTTCCCCTATGACGCAGATCTAGACCTTATATACTCGTGTGCAAATTTTAGGTCATTTGTCCAAAATAATCTAATTTTGCAAAATGACATATCAATGAAAAGCGTTTCAGACGTTTAACCAAAGTCAGGAAAAGAATTTCCAGATGTGAAACGAAGTTCATTTTAATTCTGGGTATATATCTTTATCATATGATGCCTTTTTTCCCTTTTATAGATAATCCAGCAGTGGAAGAATATTACATGTGTTCGTTGTAGCTTTTAGACCTCAATGAAACTCCATTAATATCGCCCAAAATTTTCATGTTTTTGTTACGTAAAACTTTTGGTAAATCTGTTTACGAAATCCTTACCAGTCTTGTATATAACATTCACAATAGATTTGCTTAAAACATATTAATAACATTTGACTCATCGCCATATCACAGATCAAAACCAACTCAAAAGACATAAGAATATTAATAATTCTTTGTAGCATAAAAATAATATTTGATTTGAAACAAAGATTGTTTTTTGTTATAATAATAATAATAATAATAATAATAATTATAATAATTCATTAATTATATTCATTATAACAATAATAAAATAGAAAAATTGCCTTATTTAGGTCCCCAACACTTGTTTTTGTTTAAGAAATGTTGTTTTAAAAGTGACCACTTTTTCGGCGGGGCCCAAAACCAAAAGATACATCAGGGGGTTGCCAGAAGGGGGATGTGCCCCCTACTGTTTGGGGGGTATGAAGGGGCGGCAGTCCCCCTTATTGCCAAGAAAATGTTGGGCTTGTGAGAGGCTAAAAATGACCCCAGACCAATCATAAGGTAACGTGTAACCAACGCTGAAAAGCATTTGACTCTATCTCAATCCATTTAGAAGTTGCAGCACTTTGAAATCAATTTTGATGGAAAAAATCAACGCAAATTAGTGATCTTGGCAATTTTAGATGTCCCCTCGTTGCTATGGTAAAAGAAAATTTTAGTCTTGGCATGTTGTTACAAAGGCAATGGTCCAGTCAACATTTGTGCCAAGTTTGATTAGTATTGAAGAAGTTTTTATAGTTTTATAGCAATTTGAACTTGTAACGGAGACTTTTCAATGAAAACATTTTTTCACAAATGCTCATGAAGTAATGGGTTAAACGGCAAAACATTAACTGTTTTTCTGATGGTAGAAATACCAAGTGTTCATCATAACATGCGATATACTCGTTGTTCGTGTATACGCCGACACAACAGAAGTTACTTTCCTAGCTTTACATTGTCAAACTATCATGATTCGGATAAGCATTATATAGGTTTTCACGTTTTCAATAGGAGACAAAATAAGCTCAGCCTCACCAGGCTACTTACTGTCTGAGGTTTAATATTTTTTAGGTAGTAGTAACTATTGATAAGACTATATTCAACAACAAATAAATTTTACTGAGGGGATTCCAATTTGCATAGGAATGAATGACATTGACAGTTAAGCTGCTACCTTACCACTTTCAAGTTTTCAAGTCAACATCTGACAAGTACAAATATTGCTGCAATGCATCAAGTGAGAAACTCCGCGCACAAAATGCGCTCATTACAGATACCTTACAAAATCTTTTTCTGAAAAAATGTCAGAAGTGCAATCAATGTCGTAAAAGAGAAAGGAGCTATTTATTTACCAAAACAAAACCTACGGAAAAGACAATTTCAAAATGATAATACTATGATATATCAACAGTAAAAATAGCCTACTTTAATTTTTTCGATAAATTTATGAAGAGTGCAATTTATGGTTGAATATTCATTCATTTTCATTTCATTTTCTACAAAACTCTCCAGTTCGTTTATTCATTACCATAGCGCAAAACAAATGACCTTTAATAGATTTTCGGATTTTTACAATGTGAAGGTCATATCTATTTATAGCTTTCCGATTCATGTACAACAATAAATTCATACATAACCCACTGTGTACTCCAAATAATTTTTCATTTCCTGTATCCTGTAGAAGATACAAATGTAAGATACAAATTACCAAATTTAAGTTTCATTTTTTATTTTATCCTTAATACTGCTTTTATATAGAAAATATGTTCCCGTTCTCTTCCATTAATATGACATACTGCAAATCACCGAATAAGAAACCAATATATGACTTTACTTAACAGAAATCGGAAGGAATTCTTGCATCCGAATTTATTATTAGCTGTAAATCGAATTGATCAATTGATAAAAATCGGGTCCATGGACAAAAAATAGTCAACACAAATAGTTGCTACCTTACCACTTTCAAATTTTCAAGTCAACAGCTGATAGAGATTTTGATACGACTTAATACTAATACAGACCAAATTCTGGCGGTTGTCTTTTCTAGTAGTAGCATTTACTATTTCAGTAAAATAAGATATAGATATATTTTCCGATTTTTTCCCATTTTTTAAATAATAATATTTAAATAGGTCCAAAGGTATGTATGTGGAATATCAATTCACGTATACCTTTTTTATTTTATCTCTAAAAAGCCATCACTTATAAAACTTGTTAAATATTCTGTGTAGAATTTCATGTACTTAAAAATAGTTCTCTGCTTTTGATCAGATAGACAGCAAGTCTATGTACAGTTAGTTATTGACAGCATGTATACATATATTTTAGAGCTGTTATTGATTCAGTACAATGTATAAAAGAATACCTTAACCTACGTTAGCTTACATATATTTAATAATATAAGGTTAAATGACATCCTATGACTCAAAATACCTAAACAGAGATGCTTGGATATACTGAATATTTTTTCAACATTTAAATGGGACAAAGGTATATATATATATATATATATATATATATATTGTCCTTTAAAGAAAAAGGCACAGGCTTACTGTTCAGTTCTCTTTATTCGTGATGCCAAAAGTGACTTCAATGTATCGCATTCTAGTACTGTTTGCTGAATGTAAAAGACATGCGTATTAGTATTACCGTTGGCACACAAACACTACAGTTGTCAAAAATAGTGGTTTGTGTCCTTTTATATGGGAAACATTCCTTATGTTAATTCACCAACTTTAGTTTTTGCATATTATTATGCACATTATTAGTACAAACGTTGTTACATTGCTACATTATATCTTAACCAATTTTGCATTACTTGCATATCCTGTTAACAAATCAGAGGATATTCAAAGTCAACTGTAATGCAGTTAATGTAGTACTACGTGAAATTTATTACAGTTTTATATAATTTGAAATATTTTTGTACCAGCAAGAGTTACCTCTCTTTATATTCTTCTTTCGTAAAAATTAGCTCCGCCTATCAATTTCCGTCTATTTCTGTGAAAATTCAATATATGGAAGTTGCAAAATCGTTTACAAATGTTAATCGCGTTACAATGTAAAAGGAAAGTGTGTGGTCAACCTGGTGCAGTTACAGTCTCAACGTCATGATGCAAATCATTAAACGTGTTGTGTACGTTCTATCGTTTACATTTCTACATGTCGCAAATTTGATTTTATGCATTTCTAAATACAATTTGCAATTTATCTAAGTTGCATGTTTACAGCTTTCAATTTATCAAATCGAGATAATCAAAATGCTTAATACCAGTGCAGTATGAAACTCTCGGATCGACAATTAGATTTTTACTAATCTGTTAAGTAGAACCAAAGTATGCATTGTCAAGGTCCAAAGGCTGGGTTTTTGGCAACGAATAGCCTCCATAGGTAGATTTATGTGTACTACGGTAAAGTGTGAAGTTATTTTCTTTAGGATTAATTGATATCGACCTGGCTTCAGACAGTTGATCGTTTATTTATATAATATATATGTACAAAATATTTC